CACACACACACACACACACACACACACACACACACACGCACACGAGATGGTAACTGGCGCTGACATCACAACTCAATGGAGGCCTTTGCTTTGAACTTGCGCGCAGCGCGATCAACGGGTTTCAATCTGTGGTACATAGTGTGCGTGGGTGTGGGTGTGCGTGTACATGAGCGAGAGCAAGAGAGAAAAGCCATGCAACAGATGGAAAGCGGGAGTGAGAAATACCACGCCGCAAAACAGCGTGTAAAGGACTGCACGCCGCAAACCAGTGTGCAACGCAACCCAAGCCGCAAAACAGCATGCAACGCAGCCCAAGCCACACACCTGAAGTGGTTTCCGAAGATGGTGAATGTGTACTTGCCCAGTTCAAAGGAGAATATGCTGTCGCACTTGGGCAGCACTACACAAGGTAGTGTACGCGTGCGCATACGAACATGTTTGAGCCAGTAAGGAAAGATAATCACAGCAGGATTGCACTTCTGCAGCAAGGGTATCAACGGGCGCACACACAAACGCACACATAGTCATATCAACACACACTCGCCCAAACAGACAGACAGACAGACAGACACGCACGCACGCACGCACATAGGTGTACCTTTGATGGTGTTTGCTCTGTTGATGATGCGGAATGTGTTCTCCGTTTCCTGGATGACAATGCCGGCCTGGCCAATCAAGCCTGGGCGGCGTGACTTGACAACTGTGATGCAGCACCCGTGGAAATCTGCTTTCACGAGCGCTTGGCCCATGCCATCAGGCGTTGACCTACGGAGCGCACAAGCATGGCGTGAGCAGCGGCAGCAGCGGTAGCATGCATGGGGTTGGCGACAGAACCATTGGCGGACGCGATGGAACGCCAACGGCAGCGAGCAACATGGGTATAAGAACAACAACAGCAGCAGCAACAACAACAACGTGAGCGACGCGACAACAGCCGTGTGACTCCAGCACGCATACACCCACACACGCACACGCACGCACGCACACACATGCACACGCACACGCACACGCACGCACACACACATGCACACACACCACACACACACGCACACACATGCACACGCACGCACGCACGAGTGTTTCTTGCTTTCCACTCACCTATCATCGTCGTACTTGAGAATCTGTTGCATGTACTGTTTCCACAGCGCGTGCAACGGTTCA